TTTTTTTCCCTTTCCCTTTTCTTTTTCTTTTTTTTTTTTTTTTTTTTCTCTTTTTCCTTTTCCTTCCCCCCCCCCCCTTTTTTTTTGTTCCTTCTCTGTTCTCCCTCTTTCTCCTTTCCCTCTTTTTCCCTTTTCCCCCTTCCCTCTTTTCCCTTTTTTCATCTCTCTTTTCCCTTTCCTTCCTCCTCCTTTCCCTCCCTGCAGGCGGAGCAGCTGGGCTCATCTCTTTGGGTACTGCAGATGCTGCTTTTCTTTGCTCCCGTTTGTGACTCTCGTGCCAAAATCCCGGCCCCGATGGGGGCTGGAAAGGTCCCGACAGGCTGGACACGGACACAAAGCGGCTCCGGGACAGGTCCGGCCTTGCCAAGGCTGGAGCTGCTCAGAGCTGGTTTCCAAATTGCCTCTCCAGGGTGAAAAGCTTTAATGAATCAAGGCCGTATTTCAGATTTTGCTTTTTATTGTTTTGCTGCTCCTCAGGGGCAGCAGAGCAGAGTTGTGGGGCCAAAAAGAGATCCAAATCCAAGCGCTGCCCAACCTGTAGCTGAGCCAAGGGGCTGTGTCCAGGTGAGCAAATCCAAAGGCACCAAGTGCCCAAGCAACAAGTGCACCGGGGGTGTAAGAGGAGCCCCTCAAACCAACAGAGGAAACACACAGCTATGTATAATACTGAAAAAAGCCTTCTTCCTATTGTATTTTGACAATGCTTTTTTTTTCTTTTTTTTTGTTTGCTGTTTAATATATAAATACATGTATTTAAAAAAAAATTACGTGTATAAATGGTACCCATTTTGCACATGTTATTTCTATGGTGTAAATTTATAGCCGACATTTTAACGGGATGTTTAAAAGCTGAATACTGTAGATATTTACCTGTGGTCAATGGTATCTGAGAACAAATGTCTAATTTTTCTAATGCTTTAGACTCAGCAATGCTACTAATGTATAAAAAAAAAAGAAAAAAAATACTATTTTATTTTTGATAATGGGCCTGAAGACCACGGTATCTGGGGGCCGGTCCGAGGCGCAGTGTCTGGGCCTCGATTCTGCTTGGCTAAGGCAGGAACCACCACAAATATGCACCAGAATAGGGGGGGAAAATAGAAGCAAACCAAAAATCCCTCAGCTAATGCTCATGCTGAACCTGGTTTTATAGCACGTGCAATGGGTTATGTAGTCAGGACAGGCCAAAGCGGGGAAGGTCCCTTACGAGGGGACACGTCCCTTGCTGCAGAAGGGTAAGGCCTGGCCCTGCGGAACTCACACACCTGGTCTTTTGCTGTATTGTTTTTATTTTAATTTTACTTTTAAGGGCCATTTAGCTGCTGTTGCAGGGAGGCTTTCGCTGCAATAGCGCTGGCCAAGGGCTCTCTGCGGGAGCAGGGACATCCTCAGGCTGCCCCAGGCATTTCCAAGGGCTCGGAAGGGCCGAGCGGCGGCACCCGTCGCTGCTGGGTGCCCTAAGGCGGCAGATGTGACCGTGTGTCCATGCAGCCAGCGTCACCTCAGTGAGGGCTCGTCCCTAGGGCCCCCTTGGGCGAGGTGCCGCTGTGGTAAAACCAAAAAAAACACCCAGGGTCCCATTTTGCCTCCTTTACACACACGTCACCTATGGTGTCGTACTTCAAATAGGGCCTAAATCCCTCTGTCGGGCACTGAAGTAAAAACGACGAGCCAAACACGCGCTAGGTTGTCTGCAGCCCCCATTAGCCCCTTTTTCACTTTGCTGTGTATAGGGCACAACAGGTTTATGTCCCCAGAGGGCCCTCAAGGCCACCTCGTGCATGGATTTTTATCAGCAAGGGCAGAGGCCTCACGCGGCGACGGGATCTTCCAGGCCGCACCGTGGGCGGCAGCCCGGAGACGGAATTGTGAAGATGCTTCACATTTATGTAAAGTTAAAAATAAAAGAGCTGCATGCAGCAACAATGGAGACTGCCGGGTCTTTTTTTTGTTTGTTTGTTCCTTTTTGCTTTGTTCTGTTACGGTAGCAAAATTTTATTTTAAACGTCAAAAGAAAATCCAAAGCTGTGATATGTGACAACTGTTTTTGCAAACTCAGACCTTTCTGGACCCTTTGGGCATAGGTGCAGAAT